CCGCTGCGGATGCTGCCGCGCACCACTGAAGGGCAAAGGGCTGCGGCTCAGCCACGGGGAGGGACGGGGGTGCCGCAACCCCAGCCTGGCAGCAGCTTTGGTGCCCCTGTTGTTCTGGCTGCTGGGGCCAGGGCAGCCGCCACTCCCCAATCCTCCCTGTGCCACTTGGTGATCGGGGCTAACGGAGCATGCGGGGACAACGGGCAACCACCCAACGGAACTCAGCCATATGCCTGGTTACACGGAGGGGCCCGGGCTCTGTCTGTCCCTTGTGGCATGGGGCAGATGAGGGGCTGGGGATTGCTGCGATGGGCGCGAGCTCCGCTGGGCACCACGGGTCTCCAGGGGGCCAGGGCATGAAGGAGGGTGCTCGGCCTCTCGGAGCGGCCGGGCAGGTGTCACCCTGGGGCACTGCAGCCCCCCGTGCTCTGAGCTCCCTGCCCTGCAGGCAAGGAGACAGGGGCTCCATCTCTCCCCACTGGAGCTGCTGGAGAGGGAAGAGGGAGAAAGGGCCTCCGAGGAAGCTGGACTCACCAAAGTCACTAGTGCAAATGGCCATCAGGATCTCGGTGTCGTTGCATGGCCGGCACGTCCCTGCAGAGGCCAAGCAGAGTGCGGTCACGGGCAGCCAGTCCCAAAGTGGAGCTGATCACACCCCCATCACCTCCTCCAAGGGGCCCATTCCTCTCCCCCACTGCAGGGAACGGCCCAGAAGGGGAGACAGGGACCAAGGTGCCTCACCACTCCCATCTCTCCAGAAGAGAGGAAATTTAACCTCATGTTAGAGGTCGGCACCAAGGGTTTCTGGTTGGCCAGTTAAATTTAGGGGCCGAAGCTCCCGTGTCCCCAGGTGGCTTGTCCCTGGCCATCGCCCCCGCACTCACCTTCGCCGCTGGCGCTGCTGGCGGGCAGGGCGCCGCCGCGCAGCTCGTAGCGGAAGGCGGCGATGCGGCGGCTGATGTCGCGGTGCGGGGTGGCCTGCAGGAAGAGGGCCACCTTCTCGCGGGGCAGCCAGCTGAAGCAGCGCGCGCGGGGGCGGTGGGCACCACGGGCAGCCGGGGCGAGAGGCTGAGGCGCAGTGCCCCGGTGGGGTAGAGCCATTCGAGCGAGCCCTCGGCGCAGCGCAGGGACAGCTGCTCCACGCTGCCCGCCTCCTGCGACAGGCCGCTGCGGGGACAAGGAGGCCGCGTCAGCCCAGGGTGCCCAGCAGGACACCAACCTCCCGGGCACCACACGGAGCAGATGACCAAGCCCAGACGCTGGCTCTGTGTCTGCTGCATGGATGCCAGTCCACCCGGGGACGGGGTCCATGCGTGGGGCCCCTGCGTGGGCGCCTTTCCCACAGGGCTGCCCACGAGGGGTCCCCTCTGCTCCTCTCTCACGAATGCTGAGCACCTGCATTTCCTTGTGGTCATCGTGCCCCTAACTAGTGGGACCTTCACCTGCATGAGAGCTGGGACCCACCTGGCCACAATTCGGAGCCTCAGGGGTGCCCAAAAGAGGGAGAGGGAGACTCAGAGGAATGGGTCGCACTTGCGCAGCACTGCTCTGGGGGGGAGCAGCTTTGTGAGTCCAGGGACAATTCTCATGTCCAGAGCCAGGGCCCCTTCCAGGCACCTTCCCCAGCCAGGGGGCTGCCACCTTCCCTGCAGCCAGGGCACCCAGTGTGACTCTCACTCCCAGCCCCCTCCCTTTGACTGTCTGGAAAAGGGAACTGTGGAAGCAGATCCTGCTGGATGCAGGGAAGATTCGTGCGGGTGATGTCGATTGTGCTAAACACTCCCGTGGCCAGAGTCGGCCTTGGCCGGCTTCTTACTTGCATTGCAAGGGTATTGGCGAGGGGGAAGCATCGAGTTTGGGCCGCTCTGGCCCTTCCCTCCTCAGCGCGGGCCAGCGGAGGCAGCGCGGCGGCTGCGCTACCTGTTGCGCGGGACGGAAGCGAGGCCCGGGGTGACCCGCCGTGCTCGGCCCGGCCGCTTTGTCCCGGGATGTCGTGGCCCGACCCGGGCCTGGCCAGGGCGCCCTCCCGACGGGCCCAGCTCTTTGTTCCGGGCGCTGCCGCGGGCGCGGGAGGGTCC